TTCCTGTCATAGAGCACACCCCTTGGCAAAAGAAACCAATCCCAATCCCTGCAGCAATCAAGGACGAATACACTGAATTAGTTCGAGAACGGGTTCGAACAGGATTATACAAACAATCAACCTCAAGTTACTCAAGTCCGGTATTCTGCGTAGCCAAGCATGATGGAAAACTTCGGATTGTGCACGATCTACAAGAAATGAACAGAGTCACTATACGGGATGCAGGCTTGCCTCCAGCAACAGAAGAATTCATTGAAGCTTTTGCAGGAAGAGCATGCTATGGCTTGGGTGATATTATGGGTGGCTATGATGAACGAGAATTGGCTCAAGAATCAAGACCACTTACAACTTTTGACACACCACTTGGACGTTTCCAACTCACTAGGCTTCCTCAAGGAGCAACCAACTCAGTAGCAGTATACCAAGCACAGATGATGTGGATTTTACAGGATGAAATTCCTGAACATGCTGGTGTATTCATTGATGATGGCGGCATAAAAGGACCAAAATCGACCTACGGCGGACAAGTTTTGGACGACAATTCGGGGATACGACGATTCATTTGGGAATACGCTCAGACTTTGGAACGCATATTGTTTAGAGTAGAAGAGGCAGGACTCACAGTATCAGGAAAGAAATTTGCTTGCTGTGTCCCCGCCTTGGATATTGTTGGACATATTGTATCTCAGCAAGGCCGACGTGTATCTAAGCAAAAGAAGAACAAAATCCTGACATGGCCAACACCTGGAAACCTGACAGAACTACGAGGATTTTTAGGCATCATTGTCTATGTTCGAATTTTCATCCAGAATCTTTCAGAAATAGCTGCACCTCTAAGACAACTTACCAGGAAAAAGCAGGAGTGGATCTGGAACGCTCTTTGTGATCAAGCTTTTAATCGACTCAAGGAAATTGTGGGCAAGGACATTGTTCTCAAAAGCCTTGACTATTCAGCAAACGCAGGATTGATCAAATTGGCGGTTGACTCGAGCTTCATTGCAGCAGGAGCTGTATTAATGCAAACCGAAGTGGACACCGGATTGGATCGACCAGTACTTTACGAATCTATAGTATTTTCACCCGTGGAATCAAGATATTCTCAGCCAAAATTGGAGTTATGTGGGGTATCAAGAGTATTGAAGAAATTACAGACTTATCTTTGGGGCCAACACTTTGAGCTTCAAGTGGATGCAAAATCTTTGATTCAAATGATAAACTCCCCATCCCTTCCAAATGCGGCCATGACACGATGGGTGGCCTTCATCCAACTATTTTCTTTTGATATAGTTCACAAACCTGGGAAAACCTTCACCTTGCCGGATGGGCTTTCACGACGACCCATCTCTAGTGATGATGAGGAATTTTACCAGGACCAGGAAGACTTTGACGAGGAAGAACCAGTAGTCAAACCATGTTATAATTTTCAGATTTGTTCTCACGCTGAAATGTTAGAACTCAACGAATGGGAGTCTCCTGGATATTGGCGAGACGTACGGCACTATTTGGAAACCTTGGAACAACCTGCGCATATGGATCGACTGGAATTTGCAAGACTTCGACGGAACTCAGCACGATTTTTCAGCAGTGATGGACGATTAATGAGAAAACATTCACCTGCTCCACAGATTGTGGTAACCAGGGATGTTTATCAGGAAAGATTACTCCGGAAAGTTCACGAGGAACTGGGGCATCGAGGCATTGAAGAAACCTATCAGCGGTTGGTAACCAGGTTTTGGTGGCCGAGCCTGAAAAAGAAGGTCAAGAAATGGATTCAAAGCTGCGAAGAATGTCAGAAGCGGGATCCTTTGGTACCAAGGGAGATTCGAAACGCAACCGGAGACAGTTACCTTTTTGGACGAGTGGCTCTGGACGCATGCCATATCAAAGCTGGACAATACAAATATCTCATTGTAGCACGGGACGATTTATCCGGATGGGTAGAAGCCGCTCCTCTAGTCAAACTCACAGCTAGTAATGTGGCCAAATTTCTTCTGGAATCCTGGGTATACAGATATGGAGCAATCAAGACAGTCACAGTGGACAATGGCGCCGAATTCAAAGAAGATTTCATTGAAGCTGTCGAAAAGACTGGCGCAAAACTCAAGTTTACAACACCATATTATCCAGAAGCTAATGGAATGATAGAACGCGGACACCGGCCAATCAAGGATACTCTAGTCAAAATGTGTGGAGAATCTGGAGGCAAATGGCGGGAATATCTTCCATTAGTATTATTTTCCGACAGAATTTCAACAAAGAGAACTACTGGCTTCACTCCTTATGAGCTGGTTTTTGGACACTTACCAGTGTTGCCAGTGGACCTAGAAATGGATACATATTTAGGGATAGACTGGTCAGAAATCAAAACTACAGCAGAACTCTTGGAAGCCCGGACAATGCAACTGGAAAGAAGAGAGGAAATTCTGGAAGAAGCTCACGATAAAATGATCAAAGCCAGAGAAGCCTCTGTCAGATACTGGGATCGAAAAATGGCGGCACGGCTACGAAGACCTTTGAACACCGGAGATCTAGTTTTAATCTACAACAAAAGTTTGGAAGACCAATGGGGAAAGTTATTTTCTAATAAATGGAATGGACCTTTCAAAGTCAAGGAACAATTACCCAAAGGATCTTACTTACTGGAAGAACTAGATGGAACTGAACTTCACCGGACATATGCGGCATCACATGTCAAAAGATTTTATCCTCGAGGACGACGGCTGGACGAGATCAAGGACGACGAAGAAGACCCAGAAATTGGAAGTAATGATGATGAGAGTCAAAACAGCTCTGATCATGAGGAAGATTCCAACGGCTCGGACGGAAATAGTTCAAATTAAATTCAGCTACCTCCTGGGCACGAGACTAAACTGTTCAAGACCTCTCAAATTAACAAAAGAAGTCAAAAATATTAGTACTTGAAGCTTTAATCAATATTTTCTTTTCAATTTCACTGTTTCTCACAGAAAATGCCAAAAAAAACCCTAAGAAAAATTGATGAAAAACCCATTAAAAACACAAAAACATACATAAAAAGCACAAAATATTATGAAAAATTATTTCAATCTTCTTTTTTCTCATAGATTTCTTTTTTTTGGTACCTATATGTTTCCTTGTCTAACTTCAACAACTCAGAAAACCCATAAAACACCAGAAAAGCATTCAAAACAATACCTAAAAACAACCAGAAAAACAAAAAAAAAAAAAAAAAAAAAAAAAATATTTAGCATTGCTGGCTTCAAATTTTTAAGTTGGGGGAGGAAACTCACCTGTACTTGTTGATATGGGGATTAATATTATTTAAGTTGGGGGAGGATCCCAAAACACTCATCTTCTTTCATATCTTTTTTTCTCTTCATTTCTTTCTTCTCAGTTAGGTCTTCACTGGCTTGAAGATCCCTCAATTTCTTTTACTCACTTATGCTCTCACTGCACTTCCTTTTGGCAACCTCACTTACTTCTCTCACTTAGTTTAGGTTGGGGACAACCTTTTTTTTAAGTTGGGGGAGGGGTTTGGGCTTTCATTGATAGCAGCAGGCAGTAGAAGCTAAGATAAGTGGAAGCTAAAACAAAAAAAGTTAAGGGCTGAGACTAGAAATTTTTTTTGAATTTTAGTTTATACTCAATTTTTTTGGGCTTTAAGAAAGTTTTATACTTTTTTTAGAGTTAAAGAAAATTATCTATCGATTTTTTGGTTTTAATACTTTTTTACCCCTAGGAGATTGGCTGTCCATGATCTTCAGGCAGCAGAACTGGTTCCGGTGAAGCAGGTCTAGATATCATAGGAAAGGGCAACAACCTCATCAGCAACCAATCAACCAAGGAAAACAAATCAACGAAACAACTTACATCCTACACGACCCGGCGAGTCTGGGTACGGTAGCGACGAGTGATGAACTGAAAGAGGCGAACCCGATCTTGGCGTTCATTGGCGTTGGCGGCGGGATGACGGGTCCAATGATGGACTAGAGCCGAAGTAGCTGACTGGTAAAAATTGTCGAAGTGCTGAGGGGTAAATTCATACCTATCAAAGCGCTCGGGCGCTGCACGGCGGTCTAGCAAGGATTCGATCTGATGACGAGCCAGAAGATGATAGTCGTCGGGATCATACATACCGGCAGGAGTTGGCGACTTGACTCGAACTTGAGGTGCTAGAAAATCCTCGGCGGTGTGAAAGCTGTCGCCGGATTGGATAGAGCTGAGGTTGCTAGGAGCCCGAGCTGCACGAGCTGCAGGAACGCTAGGCGATGATGGAACCGAAATCGGAGTCGGTTGGCGTTGAACAACAGGCGGAATTGGAGTTGGACGGCGTTGAACCGCAGGCGGAATCGGGTGTTGATGCAAGAAGTTGTCCATGTCGACCTGGGCACGGTTAGAATTAAACAACTTAGATAAAACAACAAATCGATATTAGTATCTCGCTAAACAAGGATAGATGGGCGAAAAGTACTCGAGCTTACCGGCGCATGACCGTGACCAAACAGCACCCCAGCGGCTGGACCGTTGGGGTAATAGAACCGGTTAGCCTGACCTCGAATCCGGAGCTGGGCAGGTGGGAGCCAACCACGACCGCGACCAACTCCACGGCCTCCACCTCTGCCGCCAACAAAACCTCGACCGCGTGGACCCCCTCCTTGACCGAAGGGGGGGAAAGCTTGACCAGGAGGGTGAAACATAGGGGGGTGCGGAAAAAAAATTGGATGAGGGAAGCGAGGCGGATTAAGACGATAAGGGGGCGGCTGAAAATGAGGAGCTCTCGGCTCAGGGACATTCATGCCCACACCAGTATTGGTAGTGGGAGGGGTGGACATGGGGTAAGAGTGGTACGTTCCAGGACTCGGATCGGTTGAGGGAGGAGATGGACGCATGTCTTCAAGCTACAGTAGCAAACGACCAACAGATAAAGCGGATTGTTTTAGTATTCTACTTATTAAAATACTGTAACACGACAACAACTGCAACTAACTATTACTACGAAGTGTGACACAAAACACAGACTACTAATGGTGAACGGAGTCTGATGAAGGAAGAAAAGGAACAGAGGATCTCACCTTTATATTGAAGGAAGAGATAGCCTGTACTTTCATCTTACCACGACCGCGTTGGTTTGGATGCCCCCCACCAGCTTGATGATAGGATAAAACCGACCTAAAACCGACCTGGGCAAACGGAAAAGAGGGACCTGAGGCTTTTTTGGGAACCAAGTGCCAGCGATAGGCATCTAGACTTGACACGGATCCACGGCTAGCGTAGTTCTTCAACCGGCCAGTGGTGGAAACACGACAGACGGAACCCAAGTAGGGAATGAAGGACCGGCCTCGGCGACGGTGTTTGGATGGCGGAAGGAACTTCAATTGAAGCATTCTTCTTAGTCGGTTGGTTTGACAGGACGGTCTAATCAGTAACAACTTACAGAGGACGCTAAGGATCACGAACGTACAACGAAGAAAAACAAATTACTTACGAGGTTTTTTGACCGAGGATCTTGACGGTCGATCCGATTCGAAGACGGGAAGGTGTCGGAAGTTGTATTCGTGAGGGATGTAATGGTGCCGGTTGCCTGGTATGTACTCAGACATATCCAGGGCCGTGGGCACTTGAACCCCGGTTCGGAACAGCGCACACGGCCTGGAGCACAGAGCACAGGGCGCGCGGGGATCGGGACGGGTACTAGGAAACCCGAACCCCCAATTCTGAACTCGAGCGCGACCTCAAAGGATTAAGTAAGCTGCTGCGTACGATACGACTACTCGACGTCACCTACTGCGGACTGCGGACTGCGGACTGCGGACTGCGGACTGCGGACTGCGGACTGCGGACTGCGTACTGCGCACTCATCCTTAAAAAAAAAAAAAAAAAAAAAAAAAAAAAAAAAAACCCAAATAACCCCCTTTCTTTTAAATTTCCAAGGTAAGGGGGGACTTTTGTGGCCCATGCTTTTTTAGCAAGAAAACTGAAAACACCAGACTCAAAGGTGGAAGTAAGGACTTGCTACTGTGAATTTACACAACACAATGGACAACTCAACACGGCTAATTCCACGGCACCCTGGCGGGAAGTTTTTGGCGGAATTGTCTGGGGACAGACAATAAGTTGGGGGAGGATGTGGTATACCTTAAGGGTAGCCATCTGGCCCATTTAAAATTTTTTACAGTTTTTTCTTTTATTACAAATTACATACTTTTTTACACCTTTTTTTCTCATATATACACTCACAAATCACCCAATATGGCTCAAGAACTGGATTCTGCTGTCAATTTCACCCTTGGTCACCACTGGAGGCGTCACTGGAACCCAACTGGATTGGAAGCTAACACTCTCTGGACCATCACCACACTCAATTACACAACTCACCACCATGACAACACTTCAACACTCAACACCAACAACAAATTACATCATTCACACTACACACATGCACGTTGCAGGACAACTACATACTCACATCATTATAGTACTGGTATACACACAACTACACTATCTTCTGACACTTGCTATATGTAGCTGTTAGGCTGGTCCTGTTGCTAGGTCACTTGTTAATCTTCCTTGCAGCTGTCAGACTATCTCACATCACTCATGTATTACTCATCACATCACCTTAGCTTGCAGACTAGTACATCACCTCATGTAAAATGCTTCACCAGCATAAAACCCTCATGTAGACTTCTAGTTCCAGCTAAAATAACTCTTATGACATCATGTAGGTTGCTCAACCAGCCAAAATACCTCATGTACATGTTCTGACTAGCTAAATCCCCTCATTGTAAAGCTCTGGCCAGCTAAAATCTCTCATTCTCTTGTTCCCCTGAAGCTAAAATCCCTCACCTTTGTGTATTTAAGAGGCTCTCCTCTCAGTTGTTTTCCCCTCAGTTTAGTATCCACCTATTTCATACCCCCTACCCTTACAAACCCTTACATACCATTACATACCATCCCCTTATATTGAAATATCAGCTAGACTCACTCTCTCACTCTCAAATCAACCCTTTAGACCCTTATAAAACTGGGTTAAACCCTTTATCCACCTGTTAAGCCACAGTTATCTTTTGATACACTCCACTATCACTTTATTAAACCTTCCAATCTTAGATTGGTGGGCTTGTCTAGTGTCTAGTGATCCAGGAAAGGCAGAGGTATCCTCATTCATCCCTTTCCACACTCAGCAAAAGGTTTTCACAAACACTTTTGAGCTTTACAACGGCATGGAGGATTCCTCCCGGTGCTGTTGAGAGGTTACACTCTCAGCGGCCAAGAGAAACCTTCTCGGCCATCGGGAGTGTACACTCTTGACAATCAAGAGTAATCCTCTCAGTCGTTGAGAGGTTACGCTCTCAGCGGCCGAAAGGATTACTCTCGGTCGTCGAGATTGACCGGCTCCAGTTGGCCTTGGTCTTGGCGGCCGGCTGGCCTTCTGTAAAACTGAGAAGACCAGATGCTGATCCAGAATATCTTGAAGCCCTGGAACAGATCACCCTTTTGGCCACCTTCACAGACTCTCTCAGCTGGCTCTAAAATCTTCCACGGGTTGATCCTATGTAGATGGGTTGGTGATCCCTAAAAAAACGGTGAGAGGATTACTCTTGGTCGTCGAGAGTGTACACTCTCAATGGCCAAGAGGAATCACTCTCAACAACCGAGAGGATTCCTCTTGGCCGCCGAGAGTCATACACTCTGGACGACCAAGAGGAATCCTCTTGGCCACCAAGAGTATACACTCTCAGTGGCCCAGAGGACTCCTCTTGGCCGTTGAGAGTGTATACTCTTGGCGGCCAAGAGGATTCCTCTCAGCTGGTGAGAGTGTATACTCTTGGCGGCCAAGAGGATTCCTCTCAGCTGGTGAGAGTGTATACTCTCGGCAGCCAAGAGGATTCCTCTCAGCTGATGAGAGTGTAACCTCTCATAGGCAGATGTGAGAACTCCTTTGGGATGGGTTGGCAGTCCTTGAGGGGGAAATAACAATATGATATTTCAACTAAGTAAAAATACTATTGCGGGTGGTTTGGAAGACCTGCCCCTCTATTTACTACACAAGAATTCTGACAACAATTTTATCTTATTGTTGTGGTGCAACTTTATGATGGAGAAAACTTATATGTAGTAGTCTCTATCAGACCTAGATCAGTATGTAATACAATACAAGATGGTTGTATAACCTTTACACGGTGAATATGAGTGTGAAAACAATCCAAGTGGAATGTTTTATAGGGTTTTATGGCTTTACGGTGATTCTGGATAAGTAGTGAAACTGTTGGTTGCTGTTGTTGTTGTTACTGGTGTTGACTAGTTTTTAATGTTCATGTTGTTGATGTTGATGACCATGGAGCTAGCTGGGTAAATAAGTATTATTTTTTAGGGAGTCGACTCCCAAACCAATCAAAGGGTTTGGAGGTCTGACTCCCAAAAAAACGGGGGGAAAAAAATTTGGGTGCCTGACGTCCGGAGGACAGTCCGCAAACAGTCCTCAGGACATCCCCAAAACTTGGGAGTTGGAAATCCAAATTTTGGGAGTCGTTTAACTAAGTCCCTATAAATTAAAACAAAATTGGAACCAAAAAAGGGTGAGCCAGGTTGGTTGTTCAGATTGGAGTCAAAACAGTAAATTCTAGTGTTTTTCCACAACATGTGCTGGTGAATGTGCTACTCAACAGTTGTTTGAAACTTAACCACCTGGTGACTGTTGTTAACAAAATTTTCATTTATAATCATTCTTCCCATGCTCCATTCTTTCTTTCTTCCAGTGCTCCCACTCCCCCAAACTGAATATCAAAGCTTTTAGAAAAATATATTTTTATTTTTTATTTTTCACAAATTTTGAAACTGTTTTTTGTTTTTATTTTTTTCATATTCATTCTTTGGGATCTATTCTGCACCACTTCACCAATTCTTGTGACTTCAGAGCATCTCCACTGCGCAGACTAAATTGCAGCACTAAGCCAAATTTAGCTACCCAAACCCAATTTAGCTTCACCACCAGAGGTGCTAAATGGGGGGCTAAAATGAGAATATCCGTCTTGGGACCTATATCATTCCCGGATCTAGGACAGTATAGCTCCTCAAATAGCTACTCTGGTTCACATATCACACATCTCATTTTATGTGATACTCCAACTCATCCTCTACACAACCCCCAACCAATATCCCCTACCACAGACATACATCACATATCGGCCAACCCATATACACAATTCAATACCAACTCAACTCTACACTACACTATGCAAAGAAGACCAATCTGCCCCGTTGACCTGACCACCAATGAAAAAGATGATAATGGTGATCAAAACAATGACAATGGTGAGATATTCTTTTTGCAGCCATTCAAACTTTCTTTATTCTATCTATCTATTTTTTTTTCTACTTGTTAAATCAGATAATGCAAATCCAGAAAACAAAGGAAAGAAGAAAGCCCCAAACTACACAGAGCCCAAGGACTATGAGCTATGCCGCGCCTGGGTTCAGGTACCCAAAGACCCTGCTGTTGGGACCAATCAAGATGGAGGGAAGTTCTGGCAACAAATCAGCACGGTATATCACGAGGCTGTACCAAGACCAATTTGGCCCATTGCCAGCTTGAAAAAACAATGGAGCAATAACTTGCAGCCGCCAATCAATAAGTTTTGTGGTATCGTTCACCAGGTTGAAGGGCTCAACCAGGGTGGAGCTTCCACTGAGGATCAGTTGAACCAAGCTCTCCGCCTGTACACCTTGGATCAACAAACACCTTTCAAACATCTGAAATGCTAAAACCTTCTTGTTAAAGTACCAAAGTGGAATTTGTACTGCCTTGATAACAATCATAAAGTTACTGCAAAGAAAAAGCAAGCTTGAAGTCCAAGTAGCAAGGCCCCACCATCAAATCAACTGGCATTGGCACCAGCACCATTGGATCCTGTCACTGACTTTGAAGGTACTGGCACAGATCCTTCACCTATGGAGCAACCTATTGGAAAAAAAAAGCTAAGACACTCATGCAAATTGCAGCCAAGGAGCAAGTTTGGAAGGAAGAAGTGGCAAGTGCTCATGGTAAAATTGCCTCGGAATCAAAATGACTCAACAGCATCTTTGATAATGACTCTCAGTTGCTCAAGGACATTGCACAGAATAGAACCACTACATCTCAGCTCACAATCATGAACACAAACCTTGAAGGCCTTGACAATGAGCAAAAGGAATATTTTAAGCTCAATAGGGCTGCAATTCTCAAATCACCCTGAGAGGAAGCTAATTCAAGCTCTGATTAATTCATTGATTCAGTCAATTCAGCGGTTTGGTCAACTAAATATGTGGTTTTACTATTGGCTCTCTATTGGATTTGTTTTTCTTCATTCTTATCCCTGTCAACCGGCTTTCATTCTTGATTTGTCTTGTTTAATTCTTCTCTTTTATCTTAACCCAGTCAGTTTTCTTTTATTTTTTCAAGAAATTCATTTTATGAACTGTTGTTGTTTTATTCCTCTCTCCTTGAAAGTCAATTGATAAGATATCTTATCCTAATCCAATCAGTTTTCCTTTATTTTTTAAGAAATGCATTTTGATCTTTGACTAAGTTGACAACTCTACCTCACTTGATGTGACACCAAGCATGATCTCAATCAGTGAAATCAATGAGATTGAATTTTAAACTTTATGAGAGTGAAAACAAATCAGTCAAACAAATCAGTCACAAATCAGTCGGACTTTATGAGAGTGAAAACAAATCGGTCACATATCAGTTGGAGGTAGAGATGGTCGAAGGGTATCCGTCGCGGATACCCGTTATCCGCTGGCGGATACCCGCCAGCAGGTGCGGATGGCCCCTTTTCCGCAAATTGCTGGCGGGTATCCGGGTATCCCAAAGGATACCCGCGGCCGCAAGGGGAGATGGCCGGCTGGAAGGAAGCCCTTCCAGCCGGTCCGTCGCCGGCCCTTTAGAGGGCGGGTATCCGAGGATACCCGCTCGGATACCCGCTGCAGCCAACGGATACCCGCTAGCGGGTGCGGGTGCGGATGCGGATGTGCAATTTTGCTGAAATTGCCATCGGATATCCGCATCCAAACGGGTATCCGGATGCGGACCAACAAACTCTAGTTGGAGGGACACAGACACAGAAAGATAAGTTGAACTTCTATTGAATTTTAAAATTTATCAGACTAAAAAACAAGATAGAAAGATGAGATGAAGGTGAAATCTAAAGAAAAAAAAATCAAGATTCATTATCACTGTCTTCCTGACAACCTTTCACCTCCCATTGATGTTTGATCAGATCAGTGTGTAATTGGAAATGTTTTCTGGATTCCCTCATTGATTGATAATTATTGATAAATTTGGCAAAAGAAATCAAACTACCATCTTGCAACACCTCAACTGGAGTGACAACGGCAGCAGGAGATTGGTCGTAGCTATACTCCAAGTAGGAATCTTGCTCATCCTCCACAATCATGTTGTGGAGGATGATACATGCCTTCATGATAGTCTTGAGGTTGTGATGTTTCCAGCCACAAGCAGGACGGGACACAATTGTGAACTGAGCTTGAAGTACCCCAATGGCAAGCTCCACATCCTTGCATTGGGCCTCTTGCATTTTAACAAAATGTTTTTGTTCCGCTCCCTTTGGCTGCGACATTATCTTGACAACAGTTGGCCAATCTGGATAGATGCCGTCAGCGAGGTAGTATCCTTGCTGGTACAGTAGGTGTGCCCACAGATTTTGTATTTGCATCATGGCGCTTCACCATTCAAGAGATTGGCAAACATTTAACAGAGGGGAGGTATTGAGCACGCGGATGTCATTGTGTGAACCTGGCATTCCAAAGTAGGCATGCCAGATCCACATGTCAGTTGATGCAACTGCTTCAAGAATGATTGTTGGCCTCTTTTCTTTTTCTTGGAATTGCCCAGCCCAACCAGATGGGCAATTCTTCCACTCCCAATGCATACAATCAAGCAATCCTAGCATAGCAGGAAATCCTTGTTTGGCCCCATCAGTGAGGAGTTGCTCCAAGTCAGCAAGTGTTGGATGTCGAAGATATTCCTTGGAGTAGATAGAGACAATAGATGTACAAAATCAGTCCATACACTGTAGAGAGGTTGACTCAGAGAGCTGGAGGTATTTGTTGTTGCAGTCAGCGGCACCCCCGTAGGCAAGCATTCTTAAAGCAGCTGTGATTTTAACAATTCGCCTGGTTCCAGGTTTTCCCAACACATCCAATCAAAGAGTAAAGTAGGTGTCAAAGTTTTTTACTGCCTTGGTGATCTTCAAGAAGAGAGGATGACCCATTCAAAAACAGTACCAGAATATATGTTTGTTGTAGAGCGGATGTGAAGAAAAATAATGGCCCATAAGCTTCTTGTAGCTTCCTTCAAAATCGCCGGGCAAATTGGGTTGTTTCCCTGGTTTTGAGCCACCATGTGAGGGGAATTCTATTTTTTCTTTGTCCTCCTTGAGTAGCATTGGTGTGAATTGAAGAACTACATTCATCATTGATCTTGACCTGGCGACAAGTTACCTTTGTCAAATTAGTATTTCTAGTACCGTCGATGTCCATGGCGGATGGTGTTTGATTTGCTTGTAGTGGGTAATGGATCTGAATGCTGGTATATGGGGGTCGGGGGGATCGAGGGGGATTGAGGGGATGGCTATTCACAATCAAAAGGTGCTACTCTGAGACTTCCCAGTACAAAGAATCCTTTGGGCGGGGAGCTAAAAATTGCACCGCAGTTGTGGGAGCTCAAAATTTAGGGACTCGTTTAGTCCCTTGCGGTGGAGTTGCTCTCAAGTTTGTGCTTTGAAGCTCTGGAATCCAAAACAAGCAGCCAAAAATAATGGTCCACCCACTCACTGTACTTACTTACATACTTACAAAAGATCCAAAAAAAAAGCATCACATTTCCATCCCACTAAAAAAATGTTTAGATTGAAGAAGCTTTTGGTAACGCCTCACATCAGGACCTGGCGGGATTAATCACGGGCCAACATGAGAGAGCCAAGAAGCTTGCTTGTGTGTGCTGAGAAAGAGATGCCATCTCTTTGTCTCCGTCTATATCTCTTTTTTTCTCATTTGACAAATACTCACTCACTCAAAAAGAAAAAAAATAGATGTAATTTCTATAAAGATTGTGTATTTTCAATAATGCTTTCTGCTTAAAAAAACCCCATTCAATAATATAAAGAAAAAAAAAAGATAAGGGATCGAGACAAAACGACTGATGAGGAGAGAATGGCCTTTTTTGGGGGGTTGGGTGGTTTGAAAGGTGAAAGAGAGAGCGAGAGAGGATATGGAGGAAAAGGGGGTTATGATCAGAGTTCGTCTCTGAGCACGACCCAATGATCGAGATGATGGCCGTCGTCGAGCGAGTCCAGACCGTCTCGACACACCGCCGGCGACGTCATCTTGATCAGATACTCGCACTTCTCCGGCTCCATCACCGAATATAACTCGTTCTTGGTCCCGCATCTTATCTCCAACTGATCCATCCCCCCCAGAAAAATGGAAAACCTGATTAGCATCTTGGTTTCCTCTTTTGGACTTTTTTTTTTTTGTTATCATCATTGCCTTCTCAGCAGACTTACGTTCAGACTTCGTTCTGGTCCGTTCTGTTATCATAATCACACAGAGAATGAAAACACAAAAAAATTTCACACCACATCAAATTCAGCACTCAAGAAAACGTTGGGTATTGTGCTATGCCGAACGATGACCGAAGAAAAAAAAAACTGTTTGGTCCGAGACTTACCCAGCACTTGTGTCCGTTAGTGTAAACTTGTTTCGAATAATACTCTGGAGAACCTTGAGGCGCGTCTTTATTCCAATGGGAAAATCGTCTGTTTTTTTTATTCATGTAAGAAAAGAGAAGGGATTCATGTTCAGACGCTGTTTGAAATAAGATATGCAAATGATCAAAGACGAGGGGAGGGGGGGAAGAGCAGGAGTGTTGGTTACCCTAAAGAAGTTCGATCTCCATGTTTTGACTTTTGGTAAGCTTCACCAAACAAACACACTTCATAAACATATCTATAATCCCCCAAGAGAATTTTAAATCAAGTCCGAAAGAGATCAGTTAGTAAGACGGGGACAAAAGACTCGATTGAAGAAGAAGAAGAAAAAGAGGGGTAGACAAAACGAAAGGAAGGAAAGGGGAAGGAGGTACTCGGCATGATTGAGTTCGAGACAAGTCTGATCGAGTTTCTTGAATTCCCAGTCGGGACCCCAGTCGAGGGCCAATTTAGCGCGGGTCTCAGCGAGCGAATTGTGAGCGTTTTCGCGAGCGGATTGAGCGTCATGGAAGCGAGTTTTAGCCTTGACGACGTCGGGTCTGTCGGTGGTAGATGTCCCTGAATCGGTGCTCTTGGAGCCTGCGTTCTGAAGAGAGGAGGGCAGGATGGCGAGGGTCTGGAGGCCGTCTAGGATCTTGTCGCGTACTCCAATGTATGTCTTCCTCATCCACTCCGGCAAATGGTCCGCTAGATCGACTGAGAATATTTACTCCCATCAGCACCCTTTTTTAAACGCACTCAAACTGCTCGCTCTCTCCTCTCACTCACATCCACTAGTCATTGACTCCACTCGTTCATGTCCGCCGCCTAGTTGCTCTTGCTCGGCTGTAATCATATCCACTGGGTCCTCGTTCACCATTCCGTCTAGTTCTTCATTCAATGGGATCTTCACCACTTCGTTGTTATCGGCTTCGGTGGACTGGCCACTCGCTTTCTCGGCTTCCCATTCCTCAAAGCCCTTCACAGCGCCTTTGACAACCATATCTACAAAAATCAAATAAAAAACCCTTATCAGTAATGAAGAAAGTAATCATAAGTTGATTAGGTTTTACCTTGGTAATTCGGATTATAACCGGCCTTCAAATCCTTCAAGATATTATTTAATTGGTCTAGATCTTTCTGCAACTGATCATTTTGAGATCGCAACTGTTTGATAGAGTTCTGGAAGCCCGAGATCTTTCTAAACAAGTTAGTTTCTTTCAACTTAGCGATCTGAGTCTGCGAGATTTTCTCGACCCGATCCAATTCGGCCTTAGCCTGGAGTTCCTTAGCTTGCAGGTTCTCGATCTCCAGCGTGAGCGTCCCGATTGAGTCCTCTAATCGAGCCTTCTCCTTGAGTCCGTAGAGACTATAATTCTTTCGCTCGCTGTTCCCAGCTTTGAACTTGCGTATCTGTTTCTCGCGTTTCTTCCTATGGGCAGCGCCGATCGCTTCACATCGGTTGGGGCAGTTTGCATGCGCATTCGAGGCCTCGTCCGAGCCATCGCAACATTCAGGCTCGCAAATCCCGTCGTTAACCCGTGAGATCCGGATGCAAGAGGGGAGATGGCCGACGTTCTTGCATTGAAAGTATCCCGGTGCGCATTGCTCGGATTGTAGACTCACAAATGGGTCTGGTTGGATGGTTGACGGATCGGCTGTGCATGCCTCTTTGAAGCCCACTTCGATCGACCAGTCGTCCACTACCTTCACCGCTGCGTTTTGGATCTCCAAGACGCTCGCCCGTTTGCCAAGCCCGGTCATCTTGGCCGACTTGACTGTCGAAGCTAATCCGGAACTATATTGATATGCCAATCCATCGTTTCTACCACTGACTTTCACACACGTCGGGCGGTCAGGTAATCCAAGGATGATGACTTTGTCGATATTCACCGAGCTGATCTTCTTGATCCACCCATTATCAGGTTGGTATTGGGCCAAGGAGGAGCGTAAAGCCTCATGAGTTGACTTGAGGGTTTGGGCGACTGCGTCAGAAGAGGAAAGGGTGAAACTGCCAGAGCTTTCTTTCTTGATCGAGAATCGCTTGTAGAGGAATTGGCCACGTTCGTGGTTGAATGATTCACCGTCGTCTAGGTAGAGAGTCCCAGTAGATTGTCCCTGCTTGTCGAGTGCAACAACCAGTGTGATAGGGTCCTTCCACATTAAAGGTGCCGCACGTCTGATGAGATCTCGGCGGGTGACAATGTGGCCACCACGCTGGAATAGTGGAACAGTTCCTAGCGGAGCTGGAAATGTGAATGTTCGAGGAGAGCCTTTGCTTTGATCGACCAAAAACATGTCTGAAGTGAAGTAATTGTAATACGGCTGCAGTTCAAAAAAAATAGTCGCTTGAGTCTAATGGCAGAATTGAGAGATGTTTATAAGAAAACCCACTTGATCGTCAGAAATATAAACGTCAGTCGAGGTAGCGCCTTCTTGAGTAATTGGTTTGACTAGCAACCCAGTAGAGCCCAAGTAAAACTGATCATCCACAGCGAACCCAGCATCATCCTTAGGGAACATGACGTATTGAGGCCTATGGGAAGATAATGGATCAACACTTTTGAAGTGAAAATGAATGACTGATCGACTTACACAGTCATTGGGGCACCAGTGAGAGTGTTTTCAAAGAGCAAGGTATACCAACTGGGTAACAAGGTATATCTTAATTTGATCATGTCTACAATCTGTCCCCTAATCGGCTCATCAAAGAGGTAGGGCTCTCGGCGCTTGGTATCGATATGCGCATGCGCTCTAAAGAATGGGAAGAAGGCGCCAGCTTGGTACCATCTGACCAAGAGCTCCGGAGAAGGATTCCCAAAAAATCCACCGACATCGGCTGGAAATGTAGTCAGTCACCAAAACCTTTCAATCAGTACATCATGAAATCGTTAAGGGGAAAATGAGGTCTTGCTTACCTCCATTGAAAGCCATACCAGCAATACTGTTACTCAACAGCATCGGGATCGAGACCGCCAGATGCTGCCAAGTGCCCATGTTATCGCCTTGCCAGATCGCCCCGTATCTCTGGCTTCCAGCGAAGAAGGATCGGGAGAGGACGAAGCCTCTCATTGGAGGATCGGTCCGCTCGCGTAAACCTCGCGCAGATTGGTTGTGCTGATACCAAACAACCTCTTTCAGCTCTCATTTCAGCTTTTGTCAGCATAAAATTCAAAGGCGCTCACGCTCGCCATTCCGTTCAGGTTGTGCAGGTCTCGATGCTCCCATCCACCATGATGTATGTTGTCTCGGGGCATCGTAATCTCCGGAGCGTTAAAGACTGAAGGCTTTATGGATTTGTTTAGTGAAGCAAAAAAGGTAAATATGTATACGCTTTCTCATATTGTAGAACATACTACTACTGACCTCGTTCATATCTACCAGAAGATCGCACAGTTATTGAAAGACGAGGTCAGTCCAAAGGAACGGCAAAAAATAAAAGCAAGACTTATAACCGGGATAAGACACGGACCTAGCCAGTTGTGCACATTAACAGTACTCTCCTTATACTTGTTAAACTTGAACAAGCCGGCCCACCAGTCCCAACTGCTGGGATCGAAGTAATCCACCCAGCTCGAAGAGCCTGTCCAACACCACCCTTCATACTCGGATCCATCGGGCAATTTGCAGAGCACGTTCCGCTCGACTGCCTCCTTGTAAACGTATAGATCTTGAGTGCGCTTGATGTGCGGATCTACAATGGTCACCAGCTGTGTAAAGAAAGGGGGTTCAATATGCAGTTATATATCGGTCACTTCAGAAAGATCGACATGGTTCACATGAGATACTGACCTTACGCCCAGTGGCCTCCAACTCGTTGATCATCTTCATCGGCTCCGGGAAGTGTCTCTTATCCCAGATGAAGTATTTATGATCTTCGGCGTACTCGATATCAAGCCACATGACGTCGAGGGGAATGTCGAACTTATCGAAGTTCTGGACGACGCTGAGGAGGTCTTCCTGGCTGACGTAGTTCCATCGACACTGATGGTAGGCGATCGAGAAGTACGGGGGCAGGATGGTGGTGCCGACGAGGGCGGCGAAGGAGGAGAAGATCTCGGCGGAGCTAGGGCCGAGGAAGAGGAAGAGATCGAGGATCCCGGACTCGCTCATCCAGTACGTTTCCGTGCTAGTCCCAGTCGGTCCTTCGTCGGTCACTCCTTCACCACTCGAGCTCGCCCGTCTCGACGCTCCAGCCTTCCAAGCCTCAACCACCTCTCCCCTCGTCTCCCGCTTCTCGACGTCGACCCAGGTCTCCGCCGCATTCAGCCAGAACACACCCACCGTCGAGCCCGCCCGATGAGCCTTCATCATCGGAATCGCTCCGTACAAGGCCATCTCCGAGTCCGCCTCGTACTCAAATACATCCAGGTTCCAGAGTCGGTACGGGTCCGTATAGGCTTCCGCGGGCGCACTCTCGGGAGAACCACGGGTCGTCTTCAGTGACAGAGGTGAGGCATGCTCGGGAATTCCAAAGACGTGTGAATATCCAGGAAATGTGATGTCAAGTGCAAGAGATTCGGGACCTTTGTCAAGGAAAAAACAGCTTAGTGATTTCATATATTCAACACAATGAATACTCGAGTGGACAAACCGACTCACCTTTTGGTTTCTGATCAGTGCGCCCTCCGAATGTCTCTTCCCACATACCATCCTCGGTGGTCTCTTTAAACCCAGGATAGAGCTCTTCAGCGTTGGAGACCACAGTAGGATCGGAAGGTTCCTGGACGAGTAAGCCTTCATCATTAGTCTTAGGTTTGTTCCGAAAGTGTTCCATGTTGAACAAGCCGCGCTGGTTGAGGATGATATGGGGCTGGCCATCCCTGAGGAGGGAGATTTTGAAAGGCTGGTGCTGGAGAAGGAGCTGATATTCGACAGCTAAGTTACCGGACCAAGTGATGAGAGTTTGATCCTGAGAGATTTGGAGGTTGATGTGCTTCGAGTGGAGCAGTTTTGGCTGGCCGAGGAGGGTCCATTTGTCGGCTTCGTTATAGCGTTGGCGGAGGCCGGCGAGCTGGTCGAGCTTGATCCTCAATGTGCCCTCGCTCTCCGCAAGGACGGTCACGTTGAGTGCAAAGGTGACTCCGGGATAGAGCTCGTTGACGAGGCGGGCATGGAGGGTGTGGGTGTCTTCGGACCAACTCGGGGCCTCGTGGACCAGGTAGGGCGACTTCCATCCCGGGCCATACTCCGGCGAGGCCGCTCGGATGCTTCGTTCCCGTCCCCGCTTGCAGAAGCCGGCTTGCTCACACGTCTTGAAATCACCCCGCTTCACCGATCCAACTCGAATCACAATCAGCATTAGACAGACAATCGTCATCAACATTCGGTCGCTCCATCGGACCTTCCGGCCTCGATCGCCGATCATCTTGTTAACTGCTTCGACCACCACCCCGGTCCTGTAACAGTCCTACGAAGCAGAAAAATACATTCACAGATCAGATGATGTATTAATTTATATGTGATGAGAACCAACAACCCCAGACAACTTGTTTTTTTTTTCTAACCAGAAGAGAAAGATACCTACCTACTTAGAAAGAGTACCCCACTCGACGCAAGCCACAAGCTTCAAGAATTGCGACGACGATTGGAACCGAGTCGTCTCCTTGTTTTTTTTTGCTTTCGTTTGTGAGTAATATGTGTGAGGAGAGGAGGATGTGTGACGACGAAGAGAGAGCGATGGATATGATGTTGTGGAAGTTGTTTTTATGTTGTCTTGTGTTTTTTAAGCTGTCAAAATTTTATGTCGTATGTATGCAAGTCTACCACAATTTCGTCACCTCGCTCACGCCTGATCGATCAACTAGAAACCACACCAACACACACCAAATGGCAACAAGCGCACCTGAAACAGCCACTGATCATGAGCCAGTCCATTTCCCGGAGATTTCCTCGTCCACCCAAGGGGCCAAGACCCACATCAACGAAGCCAAGGGAAAAGGGAAAAAAAAAGTAGTGTCGATGACTCTTGCTTTCCCAAAAGATCTGAACAAATCGTTGGATTTAAATACGTAAGAGTGTGGTCATTACATAACGAAATCCGAGTTAGTATATCGGCTAGTATATCCGCCTTTCATGAATGATGGGCGCGGAGGAGACGGGTTCGATTCCCGTACTCGGAAGCTACCCTTGTTTCCCCTTGCTGAATGGCATGGGGAAACACCTTTTGAGGCCTCTCTTAATGATCATGAAGACTTGAGAATACTCTCTTTTCTCCAAGCATGACATCGCTTTTTTATTCTCACGCACTCACTACATCAACACGACTTATCCAATACCTCGATTGTGTTTTCCTTTTTTTTTTTCAATGCGATGGATTATATATTCACAGCTTGTTTCTTTCTTTCTTTCTTCTTATATCCCTGTTTATTAATTTTGGGGTTTTTTTTTTGGATGCTCAAATAAACGGTTTAAAAGAAAAAAGAAGAGACCTTACAAAACGAGCAAAGACATAACAAAAAGGTGTGTGTATTAAGGTGACCGCTGAAACACACAGAAAAAATAATGATAAGGAGGAGAAGAAGGAAAGACAAGTCAAGCTAGTTTCAGTTGGAATTAGAAGGAGAAGAAGAAGAAGAAGAAGGGTTTGCGAAGCGTAAAGAGCGTTTTTTATCAATAAGGGCGTCTATACGTTCAAGAGTTCTAATCTGATTAGCCGAAGATTGAGCAGAAGATTGAGAAGAAGAAGGAAGATGATGATGATGATTGAGAGGCGGGCGAGGAAGATTGGGAGCACGGGAATGAACGGACGAAAGGGCCTTATTATTATTTTTCTTTTTCTTGAGGAGATGATGTTGGAAGCGGATATCTCTATTGATGCGAGTCTTATCGATGAGATGGGTGAGTCGATGGAGGAGAAGGACGGAATGGGCGAGGGACTTGCTGAGGAAGGTAGCCCTTTCGAGGTTCCTAATGAACGCGATGTGATGCTCGGGTTGACGAGTCAGATCCGGTGTGGGAGTTCGACTGCGAGGAGCGGCGTCGAGGGCGGGCTGGTTAGCATGGGTGAAGACGGCCTTCTCGAGGGCCAGGTTCTGGCTCTTCGAGGCCTCCAAGTCCGTCTGAGGATGGCCCGAGAGATGGGGGACGATGGCGGCAAGGACGAGGCCCCAAGGACTACTGTCTTTCTGTGGGTCCTCCGCAAGACGGTCGGCCTTGGCGGCGGCCCGCAGCCGGATCCATTGCAGCTCGGCAACCGTCGTCCGCACAAGACGCTCCGAAAGCTCGTGCACCTTGCGCAGTTGGGTGTCCCGCTTCTTCTTCACCAGGCTGGGAATCAGCTCGGCGTATGTCGCTGGCTGTAGACGCAGATGGGGCACCGGCGGCTCGATCGTATGGTCCTCCGGTAGCCGCTCCACATACGCTTCGTTCTCCGCTACCGCTTCGCTTAGGTAATGGAGCGCCAGATGGGGCCGATTTGCTTGCGCACAAGCCGAGATCAGGTCGTGGTAGGTCCGGGTGAGGATCGCGTTCCTCTTCCGTCCCATTCGGCTGTTCTCATCCTGCTCTTTGCTCCTTCGATTCGAAATAAAGTGTTTCTCGTCAGGAAGGGTCTTGAGAGTGGCAGGTTCTAATGAGTCTTCGAAGATCTGCCCAAAGGAGCTCCCTGGATGGGCAAGCATGCTCGAGGATGGATGAAGGGCGGCCTCATAGATCATGATCATTTTTTCCAGTTGGCCTTGGTCTTTGAACATCCTCACCACGATCGCCGTCAGTTTTGGATCCGACCAACTGGCCCCATTGTCCGGGAAATCGAGGTCGAGCGAGCGTTGTTTGCTCAGCCAGTCTGCTAACCGGGTCCGTTCCCCCTGGATGCCAAATATCTCGGCCACCGTCCGGACGGTCCATCGTTCGGTTACCCGATCCATCCTATTCGTCGTACTGGTCAATAGCGACTTGCCGATCGATTCGGTCAGATTGATCATCCGCTTGAAATCTTTCGATGAAAGCGGCAGTAATTCTCGATGGTATTCTTGATTATCGTGAGCAGTAGTATGATCGATATGATTCTGTTGATGGGCTTGAGAAGAGCTTTGATGATTAAGGAATGCGGTTCGGATACAGTCGAGCATCAGGATCTGGTCGTCTTGTCGATCAGTTGCAGAGGGGCTGATGAGCTGGTCCCAGATCAATTCGGCGGCTCTGAAGAGGCCCACATGAGCCAGTCGTTTGAGGGAGATTGAATGAAAGCGGTCGAGATCATGTTGGGTGAAGAGCTCTTTATGTTCGTAGATCCGATCGAGTAGGAAGATGATTCGATGGTATAGATAGTAGTGGGTGGATTGGATCGATTGTTTCTCTTCTCCCTCGGGGTTGAAGTCGAGTAGTAAGTCGAATGAGCCGGGGGAGAGGTACTTGAAGAGGTCATTTGAATGGAGATGGTTGAGGATCTGTGAGAAGGCAGGTGATGAGAGTTGGTGGTATGAGTCTGAGTTTAAGGATTCTGAGAGTTCTTTGAGGTAGGCTAGATCGATCGAGGAGGGTGTGGTTTGGTTTGAGAGGAGTCTAGTAGATGATTGATGGTTTGATGGCTGTTCTTGGTCTTGTGGGTCTGACTGGAGTTGATCGGTGATGAAGAGTGACTTGAGTTGAGTTGAGAGTGACTGAGCTGGTGGTGGTGGGAGTGGTGGTGAATGAGAACAGGTTGAATTGAATCTGGATGGATGGGACTGTTATATGGAGAATAGAGTGGATGGTTTAGTTTTGATAGTGTTTACTGTTTTTGTTTGTTGGGATCGTTTACTCAACTGAGGATGTGGGTGGTTGAGTTGGTTGATGATGGTGGTTCTTGAGTCGATGGTGGTGGGTTGTTGGTGGTCTTAATCGACTGAGGATTGCCTTTGCTCGCATCTGAGTATCTGAGTGTCTGAGTGTGAGCTGTTTTTTTTTTTTTTTTGGTTTGGTGTCTGAAGTTGATGATCGGGAGAAGTGGAGGAGCACCTTCAGCAGACTGGATCATCAAAAAACACATTGAAGCTGACATCAGCAAAATCACTCGCCAGTGAACAACCGGGGGATCAAACAAGTTACATACAGCAGACCATCATCTCCGGCCTCCAGCGGTGCTCTCCACAGCATTGTGAGTCGATTGCACTGATGAACCAGTGGTGCTGGGCCCTGAATGAGATGATGGATCAAAGTGGCATCAACCGGCAGGCCGCTCACATGCAGTGAGAAGTGGATGCCGTCCCGGAGCTCTGGTAGCGTGCTGCCGCGGTGTTGTGTATGTATCAAGCCGGGGTGGCGGGGAGTTGCGTCGGGTCGGGTCGGGAACGAAAATACCATGGAAAAAACGGAATGCGGTCGGATAGGCAGTCATTGCTGGAGTTGGGGCAGAATGAACGACCAGGCCACTTATGTTAGGCCCGCTTGAGGGTCGAACCCATGCAGTGCAGGAAGGTGGAGGTGTTAGTCCAGCCCGCCGCTCCGCCCTCATCCCAAAGAGCTTCGCCAGTCCAACTAGGCTATCTCACCGGCTTATATGAATTCCATCCCTCCTCGAGGAATACATATACCCCAAAAATCCAAATTACAAATTCATTCTGTAATCAAACTCATCCCAGCCGGGTGCCGGGTGTGACATACATGTGCGGCCCGGTGATCCCCCAGGGACTCTCTACGTCTCACTCGAAATGGTGTTTTACGTCGGCAATGGCAGCCCGTCTCTCACAGAAAGAAGCCTGCAAGGCTTGATTTCAAGTCAAGTTACCGCTGTGAGGGCTGGCTCGGCGACGATTGTGTGGATATCAAGCCAAGCAACGAGTCTGGGGGGATACATACACGGACAGAGGCGCGGTTTCCTGGACAGTGCTCTTTCAACACCAGACCTGGTGAAGAGATAATTGCTTCCAACCCGGCATGCAGGTTTCAAGATCTCACTCTGCTTCCTCTTGCCTCATCTCGCTATTCATTCAACTTCGCCATTCTGTTTGTCATTTATAGCACCTCCCGCTTGGCTCGCTTCGAACCTTCCATGCATTGTATGCTGTTACACCCCTCGTTGGTTATCTGGGCGATCGCAGTTGGACGAGCCACGTCCAAAGACCACCCGAATTATCTCTTTGACTGTTCTCATCAGACCGTCCGATCCCAACCGGCGACGGTCCCTTTCTGCGGCCATCCACTCTTTGAGGATCCCAAAGAGCCAAATAGGGCCACCGCGTTCACATGTTGGTGCAAAACATAATATTTAGAATCAGATTGCTTGGAATGTGCTTTTTTTATATTCGATAGCCCGATACTGAATCCTCTTCCCCTCCCCATCAACAGTCCTCCCAGCACAAGCGGACAAAAGCTCGCCCAATCACTCCAAATGTATCGGCTCCCCTACGACCCGAAACTATTGTTGCTTGCCAAACCAAATCAAAGACGTAAGTGGATTCTCAGAAGGTTTCGCAGGTGCTCTCAAGCCTTGATTGGGGAACGGGTTAGTTGACAGCCTTTTCATGCGCTTCCTCGCTTCTCGTCATCTTGTGTGATCATTAGAATCCTCGTCATTATCAACTCTCGAAAGCTGTCGGCGGCCATTGTGTTCGGATCACTCATCACTCGGAGAAATTGACGGTCGTGGATCTCCCCCAATGAGCTTCCAAGAGCTCTTGTCTGCTGCACTTCAAGTTCCACTGGGTGGTTGATGTTAGTTCAAATCTGAAAGACTTGATCCAAACTTACTGGAAAGCTTGTTGTCTTCCTCAACTTCACCTTCAACATCTTGTATCATAATCGTTAATGTTTTTAACACCGCATCTGAAATCATGGAATATATAATACCATCCTCACAATCCAGTTGATCAGACATCACTATTCTAAACTCGTCAAGATTGCTGAAATTTTTGAGCGAGCCAAAGAGGTGAAGGTGTCCGAGATTTTCATCGCCCATGAGTTTTTCTCATCTGTTTGTGGCCCATCACCCTAACTTAACAATAAGTCCCTCGATCGGAGGGCCTGTACCAGGCTGGCGCAAGCGCCCCTCGCGAAGCGAGCCTCCCCGCTTTCAGAGGCTCGCTTCGCGAGTTGCCTCCGGCCCTCTGTCGAGGGGATCTGTTAAGCTAGCCCATCACCACCCTGAAGTTACAGCGGTATTTTGGTTACCAACTGTTGCCGGTTCGAGGCAAATACACCATACAATCCAATCCATGCGCCTGATCTGTATTTTTTCTCTTTCTGGAGTACATAGACCTGGATCAGGATGGTGGCTTCGGGGCGTGATGAGGGGAACTTGACTACATACAACCTCGGCTCAACAGCATAAGCGCATCGGCTGGTTTCCAGCAGTGCCAAGAAATCATGCCGATGGGGCTACCAGAAGGCCGAAAAACCCTCCGTCGCGTCTTCCTCCTCCCACACAAGTTTGCCATTTCCTATCGATCATCATCCGGCTCCCGTGTGCTTTCAAATCGCAATGCAGCTCCTACAATCACTGTTGGTATCCGCAGCTATCCTGGTCGGCAATATCCACTCCCAATCCGACGGCAGCTTCTCCTGTGACCACCAAATCATTGACGGAAAGCCGGCGACCGTGGCGTTCTGTGGCCATCCAAACTTCAACGATCACAGGAAACCTAAAACACCGACCTCATTTTCAAAATGTTTGTCGTTTGATTCGTTCCACCCACAATAAAAACTGCCTCATCCATCCCAGTGGTTGATTCATTTTGTCTGTTTGTGGCTATAAGTCCAACCCGCAAATCCAGTCGGTCGGTCGCCAGTGGACCACTATACTTGCGTGGGCATCGCCCCGCTCTTGGCCTATTGCTGCATACCGGACACGATGGGAGACGTGAGCGACAAATCGAGCTAGGCTCTTCAAGTGGTTATATAGCCTCTGATCATGAACTCAAATTCTTTCTTTTTTTTTCTATCAGAACTCCGTCACTAAGCCGTCGACCCAAAAAGTGGATAAAAACTGTCAACAAATGTAGATTTCGGACCGGCAAAGTCATCGGCCGTCTGGAGGTAGTGGCGCATTGAGCTGGCCAACCACGACACACCTCCATTCATGCATTGCTCAAACTTCCACAGACATTTCATGTTTTGTCCAAAACAATTTTAAGTTGAATTTGTTTTCTCAGTTGTGTGTTCAAAGACTCAAATTGTGGCTAAAGGAACTTCTGGCATTTTCAAACACACTTCCAAATTTTGTTATTACATATAAGTCTTCTTGTTTTTCACATAAATAGACTGAAGGATCTGGACTCTTGGCATAGAGAATATACCATCAAAATGTCTTGCTTCTTACATATTGTTGATGTTTGAGCTGAGATCTTGGATGACCTGATTCTATTCTTTTCTATACATAGTTGAGGGGCTCATGCCTAGTAGTCTTGTGGAAGCTATGGAAGATCTTGTCCTTGTCATACTCCTTCTACAGCCACTTGTACTTGACCCCACCTTGGGCCTTGTGAACTGCTGCTCTTGGTTTCTAAATTTCATCATATTGATCCCACAGAACATATCAATGTGCTAAACACATGTCTTGTAATCAGCAAAATTATCCTGAGAAAGTATACAGCCCATCACACTACAATGCAGTGGCACACACTTCAGTGTAAGATCCATCACAGCTCTTTTGCCAGGAAGAGGAGGGCTAAAAATTGTCCTTCATGTCAAGTATAGAAAACCATCCATGCAGGAATATGAGCATAACAAGCGAGCCTTGACTGGGGTGGACCAGAGCTTCTGGCTTGCTTAGCTAACTCTTCTCCTTGTCACCAGTGTTGATGCAGTTAAGCTTGACATCTACAATGGATTGAAATTCAACCAAACTTACTTGGTGGCTGGGTAATTCCCATCTTCAAGCCCCAGCAGTCTTAGGGCAAATCCTATGGTCAACTAACTGATCAGAGTTTTGTATGGCTGCAGTTGTGAGTTGCTGGATGAATATGTGTACCACAGGGAAAATTTAAGGATGACACCAAAAAAGAGGCTTCTTCCCCAACTTGATGGAGGCCACAGCCTTTAAATATGTACAGTCATCCACTCAACATTGCTGATCCAATCCTCAGTGTAGGTTTAACACTTTGCGGTGCTGCACCTGCCCAATTTTCAGGTGGCAACTCTGGAACATGGGTGGTAAATCCTACATTTACCACCTGCAGTGTAATTACTCTAACCAGAAAAGTGTTCATAATAAAGCCACAACAGTTGCATTCTTTGGCCATCCAAATTGTGACAATTCAAAGAATCCTAACACACCTAACTTGTTGACCAGATGTTTCCTGCTTGATTCCTTCCTGTTGAGATGCCCATACTGAGTGTATGGTTGTAACAATGGTAGGCCAGCTACGCTAACCGTAGGTTTTGTGATGTAGCATAGCAGAAATACACTAATTTTTAGTGTAGCGTTAGCACAAATCCACATTACTGCGCTAACACTACACACAAAGGGCACAAAAGTGCATTAATTGTTAGCGTAAAGTTAGCTCAGAAATTTGGAATTGCACTAACACTACGTGCTCAGCCTCAGGGAACAAAGAAAATCCTGATAAAGTGTGTTGCAGCGCTGTTTAGTGGATTTTTGGTCTTTTTTTGCCGCTAAAAGCACTGTAGCGTAGTGTACCTGAGCCTAGCGCTGGTAGTGGCGCGCTAACACTACACAAAAAATGCCGCTGTTAGCACCACTACAAAGGAGTGGTGCACTAAAACTTCACAAAGAAGGGCCACTGAATGCTAAGTGGCCCTAGAGCGTAACGGCTCACCATTGGTTGTAACTAGTGGTATATAGCTCACTACATCTCACATCAGAGTTCCTCTTCCTCACTAAATCAAACCACATTTATCTTTGTGATTGCTCTTTTGTCACAAGGTCTGTGAACCTTCAGTCCCAAAGCCGATGTCCCCAGCAACACTTCCAAAGAATCCCACCATCACACTTGAGTTGATACTGACTTGTCTTCATTCTTCTGCTGTTCCAAAGGTTTTAACGGGAAATCCAGTTGGATGCTTGCCAGTGGATTGCTATGTTTGCATTGGTGCCAAGCCACTCCATATATACTGTTGCTTTGCAAAAAGTGGGGTTCACAATAGCCTCTCAAGCAAAGCTCTCTTAGTTCTTGGGAGAAGCCTCAGGACTGCTGCAGACCTGAGATTTAGTGTGAAAATTTTTTGCCAAGAAATTTAATGTCAGCAAGAGAAATAAACTAATGGGTGCAGGAAGCAAAAAACGCTATTGCAAACTCCGCTAATATTATGGGAGAGGTGAGCAAAAACATGTTGAGATTTTAATTGCACCTGTGAGCTTCTGAAGTCAATTGCTTTCATTTGCCAAATTTCTATTCAGCCTTCCATTCTTGGAAAAAAAGGTAGAGAAAAATTGCAACAGGATCACAACAGATCAAGACAAGGATATTTAGAATGGGATGGCTTGTTATTTCAAGCTTCCTAGCCAGAGTGCATCTTGAAGTAACATCTGCAAAAAATAAATTACTATGTAGAATTTGCAACTTGAAATTTTCTCAAGCATGTGTTCAAAGATTCAATTTCGCCTCAAAATTATCATGAATGTGTATCCAAAGATTGAATGATGGCAATAACAAATCAATATCATCCAATTAATCCACCCCTTGTATTCCTAGTAGGATCCTAACTATATCAGATATTGTCTTCATGTATCAAATGAGAAAGATCTGCTTTCCATTAAAAGTGGCCACCAAAGATTCCTTGCTGACTTAAAAGGCCATGCCAGAAAGATTTTTTCAGAGCTTGGAGGAATTCAGAAGCTTGACAGTTTATATTTTAGCCATGAATCTTCATTCATCTGACTATCAGAATTGTTCTTCTCTCAGCTCACGGCAAAATCAACAGTCAAGATAAGTGTATCTGATTTGGCTAAAGCTTAGCATTTACTTAGGAAGTCATTGGAATAAAACAAAGAGCACTGTCATTTTCTTTTATGAAAGTACTGACAAAACTTTTTTTGAGTCAAATATTTCAGTTGCCAATTCTCCCCTGGCACATTTCCTGATGGCTGGGAAACATCAAGTTATGTTGTCAAAAGTTGTGGTGTAAGAGCATCTCCAGTGGTCCGGGGGCAACTCGCCCGGGTTCTGCGGGCCGCGTCCCCATGTCACAGGGGTCGCGGGTCAGTTCCAGTTATGGACTGGCAGCTTGGGAGCGGCTATCCAACATATCCTCCCATATCCCTTTGACCAATTCCTCCTCCACCATATACCAACCACACATACCACACAAACCATGGACCTCGACAATATCCTCCAATGGATGGATGACGACGACGATGCCCTTGCCTCGCTTCAAGAAACACTAGCCTTAATACTCAAGAACAAGGAGTCAAAAAAGCGAGGTGGTTCAACACCTGGACAAAGAGAGATACAACGAAACCAACTTGAAGGCCACCAGCAGCTATGCAAGGATTACTTCGACGAGGATGCCACTTACCCCCCTGAGATTTTCCGTCGTCAATTTAGGATGCAAAGGACTCTTTTCCTGAGGATTGTCAAAGATATTGAAAAAGCCGATCGATACTTTGTACAGAAGCGTGACGCCGCTGGACGATTGGGATTTTCTACCCTTCAAAAGGCAACCGCTGCCATCCGAATGCTTGCATATGGGTGCAGTGCAGACTCAATTGATGAGTATCTGCGTATGAGTACGTTCCATTTTGTTTTTGTTGATAAAAATTCAGATTCTAACATGTTCAATCGACTCTTCATTTTTTTGAAGGTGAATCAACCACAATTGAATGTTTGAAGAAGTTCTGCCGCACTATCGTCAAAGTTTACGGACAAGAATACTTGCAAAAGCCAAACGAGAACGATGCTTCAAGGCTCCTGCGAGTTGCGGAGGAGCAAGGATTTCCAGGGATGATGGGTTCTCTTGATTGCATGCACTGGTGCTGGAAGAATTGCCCAGTTGCAGATCAAGGGACCTACACTGGAAAGGAGAAGGAACCAACCATTTTACTTGAGGCTGTCGCGTCGTACAATCTCTGGATTTGGCACGCCTTCTTTGGACTGCCTGGGACGCTCAACAATATTAATATACTCAATCAATCACCAATCTTCGAACAGCTTCAAGAGGGTGAAGGACTGTCGATTTCTTATGAGGTTAATGGAAATCAATACAATCTCGGCTACTACCTCACCGACGGCATTTACCTGCCATACGCTACCCTTGTCCAGTCTATCTCGGAACCTCAAGGTGCAAATAAGAAACACTACGCAAAGTTGCAAGAGGGGTACAGGAAAGATGTTGAACGTGCCTTTGGTGTCCTTCAATCTCGCTACGCCATCATCCGCTTCCCTGGCCGATTTTGGAGACACGAGGACCTCTCCGATATCATGTCGGCCGTAATCATACTGCACAACATGACGATCGAAGATGAATCCGGGAGTGAGCTTGAGGGTGACTGGATCTACGATCAAACACCTCGCACGCAAGCCAAGATAACGACAAACGGGCCCAATGACCAATCTTTTCAGCAGTTTCTTTTGCGATATCAAGCAATTAGAGATCACACCTCACATGCACTACTCCAGCAGGATAAGATCAATCACTTGTGGAACAAGCACGGTTCCGAAGGAGATATATAGTTTTTTTTTATTCTACACCTGTTCACTCTTTTCCCTGATTGCTTGCCACCAGTCTCACTTGTTTTTTTTTTTTTTATCCTAAGCTCATGTCTCATGTATTTTTTTTATTCAAGAGGAGGCAAATTGATTTCCAAAACAATGCCATTCATTCTAAAAAAACAATGCAATTGATTTTTTTTTGAAGTGCAATTGAATTTATAAAAAAAAAACTGCACAATTCCTTTGAAAAAAGCATTGAGTTGATTGAAAGAGAAAAGTGAAATAAAACAACAATCTTTAATTCAGTGGACTATTCTTCATCGTAAGCTTCCTCCTCCTCATTGTCCTCCATGTCCTCCTCCTCCCCGTCGGCCTCGTCGTCCTCCTTTTCGGCTTCCTCCTCCTCCTCGTCATCGGCCTCCAAGGCTTCCTTCTCACGTCACTCCTCTTCTTCAAGTTCCTTCTACTCTTTTTCTTTTTTCTCCTTTTCTTTTTTCTCCTTCTCTTCTTGTTCCAACTCACAAGCCATAATCAATTGGTGTTTCCTTTGATAATAAGGGCGACTTTCGTCGTCCATTAACGAAAGATCTTTTGACATTATTGCATCGTCCTTAGCCGAGTTCATCGCGGATAAACGTTTGCATGAAATATCGACCAAATCCTTTTGCATTGCGACAATCTTCTCGATCAAAGCCTCATCGGCTCATTCTCGTTTGGCCGCCTTTTGACCTTTGACACGCCCATTACCAAGCACCGATCGACTAGGCCCCGAGTCGTTATCCTCAATATCAACTACCCAAGGGCTTGAGACCGCAACCACAGAGCTAGAAGCATCGGTTGAGGGGGCGGCTGTTTCCGACTTGGTGGTCTTCTTTGTTCTGGCCTCGTTCTCTCGTTGGGTAGCCTGCCACTTTGGGGTGTCTTTCAATATCCCCCAGCAATGGTCAAGATTGAAAGGCAACCCCAAAGTGGTTTTGTACAGCTCTTTAGCCCCGCTAAGCTGGATCCAAAATCACAGCACAAGTCAGTAGGACAATTTGTTATATATATGTGCTGAGATTAGAAATGCTTAAAATATCGTCACGAGTTTTCCCACTCTTCAATCGTCGTTCAACGTTTGAGTAGAAGCCAGCAAACTTGTTGACGCTCTTGAGGATGAGTCCCCAACGACATTCAACTGCGCCGACAGGTCGTAAAGGGAGAGGTTTGAAATTCCTGGAATGATTCTTCTCCTCGTTGTATTCGGTGATGAGTTCGGTCAGGGTTGCATGAATTCGTTCCCAAAATGTTGTGGCCTTCTGGCCTTTCCCAACGATTGCGTCCCGGCTAGTGTTCAACCAAGCGATACAAAGCTTCTTGTCCTCTTCAATGGACCATTGAGGAAATCCCTTTTTTGGTGTTGGGTTGGTGTCGGCTTTTGGGGTTGCATCCTTGTTGTTGTTTGACTTGTCAGCTGGGATTGGGGTAGTTGCAGTGTTGGTGGATTGGCTTGTCGGGGTGGGCTTGCTTTTATTTTTATTTATTTTTTTCTTTGGAGAGCTAGGAGTAGTTGGTGTTGGTGTTGAAGAAGGAGGAGGATCTTCTGCTGATTTCTTGGTCTTTTTTGGTGCCATGTGGAGTGATGCCCTGGTGTGTCGAGTGATGTCTGGGTGTGCTGTAGAGGAATGGGATGAGTTGCGGCCGGGAGGTGACTGGCAGAAGTCAGCAGCTGATCGCAGGTTTGAGTGCCCCCGGCAGTGTTCCCAGGGTCGTTCCGCGGGACCGTTGGAGGGCAAAATTGCCTTCCGGGCAGTCAAAGTGCGCCCCCAAACGCCCGGTCGCGGCTCCGTTGGAGTTGCTCTAAGAGCATCCGCATTGGTGCGCGGATTACCGCGCGGATTAAGGATCAAGTTAAAACGGGATTTACCCTAATCCAGGCCTTCAAACACATCGGTTGGGCCTAGACAAAAGTTTTGATACTAATCTTGCAACTAATCCCGTCAACCTCATCGGTAATCAGCTCACAAACGACTATGGCGGACGAACACGTTCCCTTTCCAGAATCCGACTTCATCACAAGACAGAACATTGAGCGAAGCCGTCTTTTAACCCAGAGCCTCATGGACGACGACTTCAAAACCTGCTTTTCTTGATTCAAGCGATTCGGAGCCAGAAAACCTGCCACGTCAATCGAAGAAGCGGCGGCCTAACAAGGAACGGAGCCATGTCAAAAATCATCTGAGGCTCATGGACGATTATTTTAATGAATACTCGACATACGATTCTCGAGATTTTACTCAACGATTCCGAATGGAAAAGCCGCTTTTCCTGCGTATCCTCCAAGATCTCACTGCAAACTTCCCATACTTTCTCCAAAAACCAGTAAGCCCTTCATCAAGATCAAAATAAATATGTGAATACGTTGACTTATCCATACTTTTTGCAACAGGACTGTACTGGTAAATTAGGCTTGAGTCCTCACCAGAAGATCACTGCGGCCATCCGACAGCTAGCCTACGCCGTTCCCCTTGACGCGACCGATGATTACTGCCGTCTTGGAGAGATGACAGCGCGCCAAAACCTAGAAATTTTTTGCAATGGAATTGAGGCGATTTATGGGCCGACATACTTGCAACTCCCCAACTGTGACGACTTGAAACGAATTCTTGAAGAAAATGCCTGTCGAGGCTTTCCAGGCTGCATTGACAGCTTGGATTGCATGCACTGGGCATGGAAAAATTGCCCGACTGCCTTGGCTGGCCAGTTTGAAGGCAAAGAGAAGACTCCGACTCTTGTTCTCGAGGCAACAGCAACCAAAGACACGTGGATTTGGCATACGTTCTTTGGAACGTCGGGACGTTTGAATGACAAGAACGTTTTGGACCGATCACCGCTCTTCTATCATATCATCTCTGGCACCGGCTGGGGTGTAGAGTTCAAGTTAGAAGGGCATCAGTACAAATACCCATATTATCTCGTCGACGGTATCTACTATCCATGGTCGACTCTCATCCAATCCAAATGCCTCGCTGCATCCGACGATCCGCCAACCAAATATTTTGTCAAGCGGCAGGAAGCTTTCCGAAAGGATATCGAACGTACCTTTGGAATCCTACAAGGCCAATTCCAAATCATCACCAAACCGGCCATGAATTGGTACCCTGGCAACATGTGACCAATCATGATGACATGTATAATTCTACACAACATGATTGTCAAATACCGTTCGGAACCGAAGACTTACCCTCCTCTTCCCTCCTCCACCAAATTAATCCCTCCGCGATCACAGCCGTACTCCATCCAAGATCAACGAATTCGTGATGTCGAAATGCGATCGGCCCAGGTTCACCAGAACCTGACAAGTGACCTAATCAATTACATTTGGAGAAAAAGTGAAAATCAAGACTCCATCTTCTACAATGAGAGCTCTGATTCGGAAAATTATTTTTTTTTGTTCAACTTCAACTCGATCAAATGTATATATACTAGTTTCACTCCTTCCTCTCTTCTTAGTTGATTTATTCACTTATTTGATGTTTTCCATTTGCAATCAATGTTGTCATGAAATTGAATTTCTTACAACAAAAAGACAATGATTTTTTTGAGAAAAGTATGACAGACACCGGTGAGATAGAAATAAATAACATATCAAAGAAAAAAGTAAGAAACACAAAAACTGTTCAAAGAAAAGAGAAAAAAGTGAGAAAAAATAGTTCAAGACCGTCATCAGAGAGGAAATCACACAATCGTTCAATATAGGGTAGGATCTACTGATGCATCTAAGCCATATAAAGGCAGTGGATCACCTTCGTTGTAGTCATATTCTTTGTATTCTTCTTCATCATCCTGTTCCTCCTCATCATCACCCGCGTTTTGCTCATCCGGTTCGCTAATTGCCAGTTGTGTCGAACGATCGGTCGGAGCTTGAGAGGATTGGTCGGCCGGAGTTTGAGAAGATTCACCAGTGGCCGACTTGTCAAAGGATGGATCCATCCACTTGGTGAATATCTTCTGCTTTTGTGCTAGTAGGAATTGACGGGATATATCGTCAGGACAGTTAGCTGGATTTTGAAACATGAGATTGACATCGATCTTCTTCTGTTCGCCTGCCACGAGGTCCGCTTGGATGTCGTTTGATCGTTTTGCCTCAGCCGATCGTTTCACCGATTCTTTATGCGAAGCTTCCAATAGCTTGAGTTTTTTTCTTTTGTATTCCTCCTCGTTTGCTTGTTGCTTCGCTGCATGTGCTCCGATTGGACGCTCCCAATCCTTGCCTTTGGAGCCGGCATTGCTTGTAGCGTTGGTCGCATCCGGAGGTGATGCAGGCCCTGCGCCCTGAGAGGTTTGATTTTGAGTCGAAGGAGGAGCACCGTTCTTGGCTCGGCCAGCCAAGGATTTGAATTTTTCGACATGTCGGAGAAGGTTCCAAGGCCGCTCATACGAAAATGTCTTCCCGACTTGCTCGTAGTAGATTGTTTTGGCATTATTGAGCCAATCTTCAGGGGAAGAACCGGAGGCTGGATTCTTCTCAAGTCGGTCATGTATTGCTGTGAACTTGAGGCAACTGTTCTGCACTATTTTCCATCTTTAATGTAGATTTGAAACGACAAGCATGAATCAGCCGCAATGTATCCAAAACAAAGAATAAAAATGAATCTCCCTACCTTGCCGATAAACGATCTTCAGCTCGATGAGGACCACCTGTAAACTTGTTATAATCCTCGGCCACTCGCTTCCAAAAGACATCTTTTGTCTGATCGTTGGACCGGATCGGGTCGCTGGTAATGACAGACCAACTCTTGGCCAATTGTTCATCTTCTTCCGGAGAGAAGTTTGGCAATCACTTTTTGTGGTTGTTTGGATCATCGGAGCCAGGTTCGACTTGGTTTGATGGGACAGAGGCCTGGGTTGTTTGGGTGTTTTGTTGGGAAGGAGTGTTGGTTTGGTTGTTTGTTCGTGCTGCTTGGTTGTTTGTTCGTTTGGGAGGCATTTTTTTTGAAGTTGTTGGGAGGTGTAGTGTTAATCTTGCTGAATCCGAATGTAGATCTGGGTGTCTGATCCTGGGATTACTGGGGTATAAATTTGATACCCGCTAGCTCCAATCGTGATCCTGGAGCTAGTTTAATCCGATCTAATCCGACCCGGTGCGGTTGGGAGGATTAGATTAGTTGGCTAATCCTCCCTAATCCGGGCACCGATGCGGATGCTCTAAGGATGAATTAGTGTTAGAGTTAGCGCAGAGTTACAAGATCACAAACTTAACTCAGGAGCAACTTACATGTGTTTCAACTCTATCTATCATCATCTTAAACCTAAACCAGTTGCTGCGGCGAAACACCATGTATTTAGTCTAGTTGTTGTATGCGCCGGGTACCGGCTCCTCTCTCTCTCTTCACCGAGTTTGGAGTCGAATACCCGTAGCGTACCTGTGCTCACGTGGCGTGTTCCTTATCGTCAGGTGAGTAGTAATCTAACCGAGTTTGGAGTCGAATACCCGTAGCGTACCTGTGCTCACGTGGCGTGTTCCTTATCGTCAGGTTCACATCCTTATAGGTTAAAAGCCAGCTCTATTTTTACGCCGATCGGGATTCGTACAAATTTCTTGGGAGACATCGACTTGTCTGGATGAGCAGTGCCGGTCGTAGCAGAAGCGCAGATTTTCGAGCAATAAGAGAAAAAGCGACTAAAGAAACAGAAGCCAAAATCGAAAAAGAAAGAGAATTAGAACGATTGAAGACTGAAAACCTTAGACGAGAGATCGAAGAAGAAAGAATAAAACATCAAAAGGAAATCGAAAAGAAATTAATCGAAAGAGAAAACAACAAAAAGATTTACGATTCGCTTGCAGAGATCGACATGACTACCGCCAACCCCACTGCTCAAGACTACCTTCTCCTCAAATCAGAATTCGAAAAACTGAAACTCCTGATACCTCAGTCAGGAAGCCCGGGAGGATCGTCGTCGGCCCTCAGCCGATTGGAAATAGCCATACGGAACTTCAACAAGGATCCGATTGGTATTCATCACGCCGCCAATCCGGCGAAGACAAAACTAGCATGCGATGGGTTCAATTTCCAGATCTGGGAAAAAGAACTCAATCGCACGCTTCGACAGGTCTTTCAGGTCAGGAAGTTTTCCAGCCTCGAATCAAACTTCACCGACCGGCTGCTTGACGAGCAAGATGCGATCGCCGGCCTGATCAGATCCACGATCAACGAAGACCTCCTCGGCATCGTTGACAGCACCGACAAGGAGGATCCATGGTCGATACTTGAGCTTCTCAAAGCCAAGTGTAGCAGGTCCGACCGTCGACACAAGCTCTCGTTGGTCGACCAGATCATCACCCTGGCGACCGATAAGTCCCCCGGTTCCGAAGTCACCCTTGCGAAGTGGAGTCGAGTTATGGCGGAGGTCGCACAATACAAGATCACCGTCGACGAGCTGGGCGGCCTATTCCTTCAAAACTCTTTCGTTGCGCCGATCGGAGTCGATCCGAAGACTTTCGAGTTCTCGGTGGACCAGAACCTTGAGCTGAAGGATAAGCCTTCGTTCAGCGACGTAACGACTGTCATCCAGGCGGCTTCCAGTAAGTCCAAGAACAAGACACCGGTTGTGTCTGACGGATATGCGCCGATGGATCTCGACGCTGTCCACGCGATGAGGAACAACAAACCCCTCTACACAGCCCCCCATCGTCGACCACACCCCCCACCCCGACAAGACCACCAAAACTACCAGAAACCTGGTCTGTCAGTTGAGAGAGCAAACCGATTCCGCGGAAAACCGCTGAATGAAATCCTCAAGGCACGTTATGGTGACGCCTGCCACTACTGCAAGCAGACCGGCCACTGGTACAACAACTGTGCGGCGTTCTGGGACGATGTCGACCAGAAGGTTATTGATTCCCCGCCTCGCGACTTTGATAACCCCCAATCCAACTATCTCCCCCCTCACCGCCCCGCAATGCCTCAAAACCGCCTTCGTCAGTTGGACGTCCCAGAAGCCAATGACGGAAAAGTCTTACTCGACTCTGGTGCCTCTACCCATGTAAGTGGCAATCTAGAAATTTTCGTTTCACGTGAAGATCTAGCGATTCCGAGGACCATCTCACTAGCGGTTGCTGACTGTAAAGTTGACGTTAGGTTCAAGGGCCGAGTGAGGATCCAGACTCCGAAGGGTCCAATTGAATTCGACAATGTCTACTACTGCCCAGGCGTTGATGGATTGATACTCTCGGTCGGAAGATTGACGAGCGATGGATGGAGGCTTTGTTTTGACGGAAAAAAAGCCGAGCTCATTAGTCCTAGTAATATTTGTTTCACCACTCGCTTCCGCAATTTCTGTTGGTACCTAGCAATGTGTAAAGATGCCCTTGAAATAAATAAAGTCACTACTTCCCCATCATTTGATCCATACCTGTGGCATCGTCGTCTAGGGCATGTCTCAGAAACTATTGTGAGGAAATATCTTAAGATTCACTACCCAGAAGAACTCGAAAAGAAAACCTGGAAATCTTTCTTCTGTGAACAATGTGCAATATCCAAAGCTCTGGATCGAAAATCACCTGGCTCAAACTCTTTGATCCCACGGGACGAGCCTCTGGATTTGCTTGTGTCTGACGTTGCAGGCCCACTTCCATATGACATTTCCGGTCGACGATACCTGTTGACACTCCGGGACCATGCAACCACGTACATCTGGACGGCGATCCTAGTAACCCGTGACCAGGTGCCAGCTCAAATCATGGAATGGGTTAAAAACATCAAGACCACTTTAGGACGATACCCAAAATGCATCCGAACCGACAACGCTCCGGAGTATACAGGTACCCTGAAGAAGCTGCTCAAACCAACTGGAATCAACTACGCCCCCGTCCCGCCTTACAGCCCTGAACAGAATGGAGAAGCTGAACGAGTCAACCGAACACTTGGTGACATGGCCCGCACAATGCTTCATGAAAGCAAGCTTCCAAAAATCTTTTGGGGACACGCATACCAAGCCGCAGGTTACATCCACAACAGAATTCCCAACACCAAGGTTCCTGTTGCACCGCTCACCCAACTATACTCGACCGAGGTGGATCCAAATAAGTTGTATCCTTTTGGAGCGTCAGCTATTCTTCTTATACCCAAAGAAAACCGCGACAAACTCGATGAACGTGCAACAGAAGGTCAACTTGTCGGCTATCCAATGTCGGGTGGAGGATGGTTATTCTGGTCAGAGTCAAAAAGAAGGATCATCCACTCAACAGCCGTCATGTTCCCTGAATTTCAAAAACTTCCCGTCAAGAAAATGGCAGCACCGGTACAGAATCCTGAACCAGAATCAACACCGGCACATGATGAACCGGCCGAAACATCATGCTTAGACATTGTACTCAATCAAATCATGCTGAAGCTGGGGGAGGAAGAGACTGACGTGTGTCATGAGCGAGAACAGAAGGCAATTTCGGAATTGGTCCTGACGGAAGACAGGCGGATACCGGCAACCATCAAGACGGCGTTGAAGAGCAAGAAGGCGGCTGAATGGAGATGTGCGGCTGAATACGAGGTGGAAAAATTCGAATCTTTGGAGGTATGGGAACCAATCGAGCCTTTCCAAGGAGCGAAGGCACTAGGCTGTCGGTGGGTATTCACAATCAAGCCACCCGAACGGGAGGGCGATCCTGAAATCTACCGAGCGCGGTATGTGGCGAAAGGCTTCAATCAACAAATCGGAATCGACTGCAACGAAACATATGCACCGACCGCCTCACTCAACACTCTCCGACTTCTGTTATCACTGACGAACAAACATGGTTATGCTACAGCTACATTTGACGTGAGCTCAGCATATCTGTATAGTCCTATCGAAGAAGAGGTCTACGTCCAACCGCCAGTCGAAATTATGCCACACCTGAAAGGAAAAATCATGCGTTTGAAGAAGGCTATGTACGGGACGAAACAGGCGGCGAGATGCTGGTGGCAGTTTTTCAAGAGGAAGATGGAGGCAGTTGGTTTTGTGGCTTCGGAGCTCGAACAATCTTTCTACATCTATCGGAAAGGAGTCGATTTTGTAATCATTTGGCTACACGTGGATGATGGTCTAGCGGTGGCGTCAAATCAACTGTTGTTGGACAACCTCCGTGTGGAAATGCAGAAGGAAATGAACATAAAGTGGGCTGATGGAGTGAAGAGACTTGTTGGGTTGAATATTGTGACAAAAGACGGCGAAGTTATTCTAGATCAAGAACGACTAGCCAGCCAAATAGTACGAGACTATGAACGACCAATATTCACCAGACGGTCACCGTTGCCTGACGATCAACTGGAGGTAAACGCGTTTGAACCGGTAGATCAAACTAACTACAGGTCAATCATTGGGTCCTTAATGTACTTAGCTTGTGGAACACGGCCAGACTTGTCATTTGCGGTTAATCTCTTGGCACGCTACTGCAATAACCCATCTGAATCACATTGGTTGGCCCTTGATTATCTAATTGGTTACATCAAGCGCAGCCAGTCAACCAAACTTGTTTTTAGAGGGCACAACTCAAACCTGGATCTCTGGTCGGATGCGAACTGGGGAGGCGAACATGAACGGTCAACTTCGGGTTTTGTTATCAAGCATCTTGGGGACGCCATTGCATGGGGTGCAAAACGACAGACGGTGGTAGCTTTGTCAACATGCGCGGCGGAATACATTGCACTGTCGGACGGGGCGCAGCATCTGGCAGGAATAGCAATGCTACTTGAGGATATCAGTCATAATGTGAAAATGAATGTTTACTGCGACAATCAAACCGCCATCTTAATTGCTGGCGACAACGCATCAAAGAAGAAGACTCGATACCTCATGCGGGCTTTCTATTTCATCAATGACTTTGTACGAGAAAATGGTATCAAGATTTTGTGGACAAGCACCATCAACCAACAAGCCGACATCTTCACCAAGAAATTGGGTCCCAATAAGATAGAAGACGCAGTGGCAAAATTAGGCTTGAGATGGTAAAGTTTGCGATCTTGAGGGGGGGTGTTAGAGTTAGCGCAGAGTTACAAGATCACAAACTTAACTCAGGAGCAACTTACATGTGTTTCAACTCTATCTATCATCATCTTAAACCTAAACCAGTTGCTGCGGCGAAACACCATGTATTTAGTCTAGTTGTTGTATGCGCCGGGTACCGGCTCCTCTCTCTCTCTTCACCGAGTTTGGAGTCGAATACCCGTAGCGTACCTGTGCTCACGTGGCGTGTTCCTTATCGTCAGGTGAGTAGTAATCTAACCGAGTTTGGAGTCGAATACCCGTAGCGTACCTGTGCTCACGTGGCGTGTTCCTTATCGTCAGGTTCACATCCTTATAATTAGCTGCCATGAATACAAACACACCAAGTTCAGTTGATATTTGACTAGCTTAACAGCTCATAAGGATTTTTGAAAATGGATACTGTAGCCCGCCCACTCAACATTCATTCAGTGCAATCAAACTTGATCATCTGCCAGATTATGCTTCAAGTACCACTTTGTATGAATCGAACTCGCAGGCTTTGAAGGGCTTAGTCAAAACAAGTGAAACAAGTGACTTCTCAATGAATTCAGGGAGTGATTAGAAATCGGGGGATTCAAGGGAAATCGAGTGCGAAATATCAAGGTCATAAAGGAAGCTCAATGGTACCGTCAGAGGTTCACATGAATGAAAGTTTGATCCTTTTGTACGACATACCTATCACAATGAGTTGGATGCAATATTTACAGATCAACTGGAATTGATAATACGAAGTCTATATGGCTAGGTATCAGCTAAAACTGCGTTGCGGTCTACCATGGCTGGTGTTTTTGATGGTCTACAATCCAATTTGATCTCATCAAAAGGGATCAACAAATACGAGTGGGCCAATAAAAAAATTGGATAACTGATTACATTTCGAGTGCGCGATCAACATTGAGAAGGAAGAGATACAATCAAAACAACTTGGAGGTATTTTCTTGTTTAACCTGAACTAAAAACAAAAAAACCAAAGCAGATTAAGACATAAAACGATGTGGAAAAATACTTCATTTGTACAATTAACTCATGACAGAAATACTGAGATATATGAAATGGACTCGGGAATGTAAGGGAACAGCTGCATTCATAAAGCTGAATCTTAGTCTGACTTGAAATCATGATACAATGATCGACGAGTCTATAATAAAGGATAATGGTGAAAAGGAAATCTGGCAACTTTCTAAACTCATGCGACAACAATAGGGGTTTCGCATAAGCCTCGCCGCCGATCGAAGCGGCCTTGAGGGGTATTCAGACGTTGAGGAGCGAGCTGGATGTGCTGGAAGAGCCCCGAAGTTCGTGAATTTTGCATCGATCTAATCGCGATCCCACAAGCAAACGTCATTAGTTAAGGTAAGGAGGGGGAGAACAATAAATGCACTTACAAAAGCTTTCGATTGACTTGATAGTGTCTATTTCACTACCCGCATGCACAAGATTGATCAGCGCAGCGTCATGACTGTTGCTCGAGGCACTTGCCCTTCGACCTTGAGATCCATTCATGATGCTGATTATACAGCCAGCCCTGATACAGAGAAAGTTCAGATAAAGACTTCGAGTTTGTCGGTGAAACACAATAAGAGCTGACCTGTGAATGTAGTCCTCAACTGCACGAGGTAGTTCGAAGTTGATGACGATACTGGGTTGATCTTTGGAGATGTCGGCCAGTGTCTTGGCAAGCACATCATATACGACCAAGACCTTCATCGACTGAGCTCTGGCGTCGTAGGACGACTCGCGCGCCGCTTTACCAAACTTGGTGAGTAATGAGTTGTCGAGCCGCTGGAACCATGTCATGGGTGCTACAAAAATAAATAGGTCGGTGAGATCAGCTTTCCGTTTGTAGCGGAGGGGTTTTTGAATAATCGGACTCGATTCAGGGGACTCC